AAGACTAGAAATATTTGTGCGCTCCAGAATCGTCGTCATTCCGAAGCGATTTTGCCTTCCGAATTGCACATAGCTGATTTAGTGCTTGTGTGTATGTGTATGAGCCATATTTTCAATGCGAACAAGCAAATCGTTATTTGTTTTTGTGGGGCTCCTTCATCTTTCGACTCTCGATGAGTGGAGAGTTGGAGCATCTTTTTGGCATTTGCACAAGGCAAAAAGGTAGTCATTCGATGGAATGGAATGAAATGATATGCGAGTTATGCCTCAGCAAGCCGGTTACTTGTCTTTTCATTTCATTTTCATTTAAATTTTTCTACTCGCATGGCGCTGTTCGAATGCGCGCACGCTGAGTTAGAGGCTTTGATTCGATTGTCTTACATACACACGGTTTATATTTTGCACATTTCTCGGAATTCAGCCATACGATATATGCGTGTACCATATGTATGGCATGTAGAATTGCACATAAATCCCTTCTCCCGGCGTACAGTTTTGGGAATGGAAATTCTTTACGTTACCACCTAATCAAAACCGAAGATTATTCGTTTAATATCATTTCAGGCATTCATACATCAGCGCATATCATGCTCTTATACTTTGTGTGTGTTGTGTGTGTGTGTGTGGTGCCTTTCTTCGTTTTCAATTCAATCATATTTTATAAATGGTTTGTAATTTCATCAAATGATCCATTCACACACAAGTATAAATCAGCTCTTGTCTTTCGAGTGTCGAGCGGAAAATGGAAGAAACAGCAATTTGCCAAGCAGAACATCCACTGAACACAAATACATGCAAAAGAGACAGAAAAATGGAATAAGAACTGGTGGAGAGATAGAGAGATAGACACGCGTAACAACGCAATATTTTCCCATTTAAAATTCATTGAGCGAATTAAATTTGAATTGATAATCATTATTATTTGCGGTACAGGAATAAGACGACGGAGAAAAAGAAGACAAGATGGAAAATAAAAATCCATTTAATAAAATTTCATTTATTATTGTGATCATCTCTGTCGTTTCTAAACGGATTCGGCAACGCTTTCTTTTGCCACATCGACAACTTCTCTTGGCGACGTGAGAGAGAGTGTGTGTGCTGTTCGCTTTCTTCGATCTCCTCTTTCTCTCTCCCGACTCGGTCACGCGCATTTCTATCGTCGCTATGATTTTTTCTGACTACTCATCATCGTCAACAACATCAGCATTTTTCTGGTTTATTGTTCTTGTTGACGCTGTCACCGTATGTGAATCACTGTTTTTCCATCTGTGCGCAATCCGTTTATTTGATTTCACAAAAGCGACATTAATAAAAAGCAGGCAAAAGAGAGAATCGAGACTAACAAATGAAAAATACATGAAAGCAATGAGCCACAACAACCAGCCAACCAACCAACGAATGAACAAACCAAATTTTTTTGATGACAAAAAGCTTTGAGCTCTTTTAATACTTCCCTTTCATTTTGCTTTTATGCATGCTGATGATTCCTTTTGCATCGTTTTGCTCGCTCTCTTTCTCTCTTTCTTCTTTTTCCTTTTTTTGTTGGTCTAATTGTTGTTGGTGTTTTTGCCAGTCGCATAACCGACACTCTCTATCTCCCTTGTTTTCTTTGTGCAACTACGTATGAACGATGTTATTACTTTTATCGGTAAAGTTCCCGTCATTTTGTCATCATCATCTTCTGTCAAGATCTATTTCTCTTTCGCTTTCTCTCTATCTACCTCTCTCCCATTCTCACCCAATAATGTCAACGTTTGCGTTCACTTCAGGTGAGAGATGCGTTCTTCGGTACCATTTTTTCTCCCTATTCTATACTTATTTCACCTGGTTTGTGTCAATTTCTTCCCAGAGTGGATGGAATTCAGTAATTCATCGAGCGAATGGCCAGGAATTCATGGTTTAATGTGTCTGGCGGCAGATATGGATGTTGGGTGGCGATAAATATATAACGAATAAATACGCCATTTATTTCGCCATCATAAATTCCATCGCGCGCAATTCGAGTTCAATGCTGTTTGCCATCAGCATATCTAAGTCGATGCAACGACAATGAGCCGTGAGCAGCTCATATACCGATTCAGTTTTAAAGCAATTGTGTTCAGTGTTTTTTTTTGTGTCGCTTTGAGTAGTGCTATTGCTGCTGTGCAATCGCTATCGTTGCGTATTATAGAAAGAAAGCAGTGAATGCTGGCGATTCGAGTGACTACACAGAAGAGAAAAAAAATGTAAGTCATCAGTTATTATTTGAGCATAAGTATCTCCCATGTGTGGAGACG